GAACCCAGCTGAAGCTGCCCGAGTAGGTTTTGGACAAAGAAAGTATACCTCTTGAAATGTCAGTCATGTCCATGACAAAGTTCAAAATGTAAAAATGAACAAAGGGCAATGACTCCAAAATTAAGCAAGGCAGAGTTTAATGTTCTTTTGCGCTTTGCACTTCTATTTAATGAGAATAAATCTACTTACAAATCTCTTATGGTTTCAGAGCTTTGTCTCGGACAAAAGTTTCGAAGTGAAAAAAAATTACAAATAGGGCAATAACTCCAAATTACGTAAGACAGAGTTATGGCTCTTTTGCATTGCATTTCTATTTGATGAGATCTATCTACCGATAAAGTTTCATGTTGATATCTCTTATAGTTTGAGAGTTATGTCCTGGACAAAGTTCAAATTGCAAAAATGAACAAAGGGCAATAACTACAAAATTAGGCATGGCAGAGTTATGGTTCTTTTGCATTGTACTTCTATTCAATGAGCTCTACCTACAAACTTTATGTTGATATCTCTTACAGTTTTACATGTAGTTATGTCCGGACAAAGTTCAGTGTACAAATGCACAAAGGGAATAATTCTAAAATAAGGCAAGACAGAGTTATGGTTCTTTAGCACTGCACATCCACCCAATGAGATCTATATACTGTGCATTTAGGATAACTATTTAGTGACATGGTGGTCAAGTCCACTATAACAGTGTAAAATAGTTATCATATTGTGTTTAATATCTTGAGTCAAGCAGACTTGCCATATAAATTAAAATATCGACAAATTTACCAGTTACTGTCGGCGTAATGCAGTAGGTATAGATGTCTGGTAAATTTTTAGTTACATATCAATGCAAGACAGCCGGGTTCGGTCCCAAAAAATTCTATATAATTATCAATCGAGTAAGAATATCTTTTTTTTCTTGTAAAGATTATTAGTGCTGTGTTATTTTCTATTAACTTCTCATTTCACTTTTGTTTTTAAATGTTGCTATATTAAGCAAGTTGGTGCAACCCGACACGGAATGCATGCATGTACATGAATTGTTTCAATTATAGTTAAGTTGGCACGAAAAACTTGTGCACTGCAAAAGTACTATGACTACTATAATGTATATTACACACTTACACAGGATAAAAATCATTATTTCCGGTATATCTAAATTATTCAATATTTTAACAAAACTGCCTTTATATTTCAATTCATTTGCATCTAATGTAAAAATAAAAAATATAGGGAAAGAAAAAAGAACAAGAGGGCCATGATGGCCCTGAGGTCGCTCACCTGTATATAGGCCCCAACCCCCCCCCCCCCCCCCCCAGCTATTTGGGTTTTTTCAAAGAAGATTTTTTAAGTTTTTGCTATACACATATAAAGAAAATCAATGACCCCGGGGCGGGGCCAATTTTGACCCCAGGTCTTTTATTTGAACAAACTTTGTAGACACTCACTAGAAGATGTTTCATGCTTAATATCTTAACTCTAGCTATTTGGGTTTTTTTCAAAGAAGATTTTTTAAGTTTTTGCTATACACATATAAGGAAAATCAATGACCCCCGGGGCGGTGCCAATTTTGACCCCAGGGCTTTTATTTGAACAAACATGTTAGACACCTATTAGAACATGTTTGATGCTAAATATCTTAGCCATAGCTCTTTGAGTTCTTTAAAAGAAGATTTTTTAAGTTTTTACTATATGCATATAGGGAAAAACATTGATCCCCCGGGGCGGGGCCAATTTTGACCCAAGGGGTTTTATTTGATCAAACTTGGTAGACACTTATTAGAACATGTTTCATGCTAAATATCTTAGCTTTAACTCTTTTGGTTCTTTAAAAGAAGATTTTTTAAGTTTTTACTATATGCATATAGGGAAAATCAATGACCCCCTGGGGTGGGGCCAATTTTGACCCCAGGGCTTTTATTTGAACAAACTTGGTAGACACCTATTAGAACATGTTTCATGCTCAATATCTTAGCCATAGCTCTTTTGGTTCTTTAAAAGAAGATTTTTTAAGTTTTTACTATATGCATATAGGGAAAATCAATGACCCCCCTGGGGCGGGGCCAATTTTGACCCCAGGGCTTTTATTTGAACAAACTTGGTAGACACCTATTAGAACATGTTTGATGCTAAATATCTTAGCCATAGCTCTTTGAGTTCTTTAAAAGAAGATTTTTTAAGTTTTTACTATATGCATATAGGGAAAATCAATGACCCCCGGGGCGGGGCCAATTTTGACCCCAGGGCTTTTATTTGAACAAACATGGTAGACACCCATTAGAACATGTTTCATGCTAAATATCTTAGCTGTAGCTCTTTTGGTTCCTTAAAAGAAGATTTTTTAAGTTTTTTCTATATGTATATAGGGAAAATCAATGACCCCCCGGGGCGGGTCAATTTTGACCCCAGGGCTTTTATTTGAACAAACTTGGTAGACACTCACTAGAAGATGTTTCATGCCAAATATCTAAGCTCTAGCTCTTATGGTTTTTTAAAAGAAGATATTTAAAGTTTTTTCTTTCGGTTGCCATGGCAACCAGAGTTCTGCATGGAATTAAATTCTTTGAACAATTTTTAAAGGTGACCACCAAAGGAACATTCATGTGAAGTTTGGATGAAATTGGCTTAGTGGTTTATGAGGAGATGTCATTTAAAGTAAAAGTTTACGGACTGACGCCGGACGGACGGACGCTGGACGAAAAGCGATCACAAAAGCTCACCCTGTCACTTTGTGACAGGTGAGCTAAAAAAAGGTTAGACAACTTGTGAGGCTCGAACTCATGATAACATTAAATTTGTATGGCATCCTATTGACTTAAACAACTTTGCCATGGAGACTTTTCAAAATTCTATTTCTTATCTTGAATCATGTTCACTTCTAAATACCCTGTCTTACCTATTCAGACAAAGCTTGTTAACTTTTGTGTTCACAAAACATGCAACGTCACTCTCACATTATCATAGTAGCACAGTACCTACAAAGTTTCATGTTGATATTCAAAGTGTAAAAAATAAACAAAGGGCCAATTCCAAAACTAAGCAAGGCAGAGTTACAGTTCTTGTGCAATGCACATTCGCTCAATGAGATCTACCTACAAAGTTTCATGTTGATACCTCTTGTTGTTTCAAAGTTATGCCCCGGACAAGAATAGCTGACGGACGGACAAAGCTGCAACTATATCCCTACCCTTCGAGGGGCATAAAAATTGCTCAATCGTACCTAAACTGAACTTGACCTCAATATCCTTATGATAAATCTGTACACGAAATAATTGGAATTTTTCAAATCAAAGGGGCATTACTCCATCAAAAATTGCTTGATCATACCCAAAGCAGAACTTGACCTAGATATTCTTTTTTTCAGTATGTGCCACCTCCGCTGAGAAAATGCAAATAATTGGAATTTTTCCAAGTCCAAGGGGAATTACTCCATCCAAAATTGCTTGATCATACCCAAAAACTGAACTAGACCTAGATATCCTTATGATAAATCTGTAAACAAAATTTCATTTCAGTATGTGCAACCTCTACGAAGAAAATGAACGGACCAAGTAATTTCAGAATTTCTCATCAGTTACTTTATACTATTTAGACCAAGATTGTATGCATTTATTCAGGAAATAACATTAGTCCAATAAGTGTTTAACAGCTATTGAAGATCTGTTTCCAGTTTTGATGCAATTGAATACACAAGTTATCTTAACAGTCACTTATCTCAAGGGCATTCAATTTATTTTCCTCAAAAGTTCAAACAAGATCAAGTGACCTAGTGCGAGGTCAATTTTGACTACAATTGAAACAATGTGGATGTTCCACTAGTGTAAGGTGCCATGTTCATTGGTCTATTAAGAGAAACTAAAAATAATAAATTCAAGGTCGTTATATATTCTTCCCTAATGCACTTCATTTCTCAGGAAGTTGTCAATTGTAAATACTGGAGATGTATTTATACAACTAATTTTACCAATGATAGTGGGCATTGCTCTAGATTTACTATCTGTTATGCCTCTTGTCCTGCAGATGACTATACATTTCCCAAGAACAAGCTTTTGAAACTGTCAAACTATCATTAAAGCAGAACTACAAATCACATAATCCAATGAAATTCCATTATCACAGAGCCTATTACCAAACTACTGATCTGTGTGGAGCATAAAGTGAGTTCAAGAACAATCAGTTTTATTTCCAGCCAAAATCTAAATATTCTGTTTATTTCTAAAGGATAAAGTGTAGAGTCCACTCATCCTAGTGAGGGATTCGTACATAAAATGTTTCCAACAAATCACAATTATCCGATTGTATAATCACACGGTTTCCCTTTCCATGAAAAAAAAAACTGAACGCACCACCCCTTAAACGTTTTGTTTCACTCACTGGAATGACAGGATTCTACACTTTATCTGATTAAAACAATCAAGTTTTAGAGGCATTAAGTCTCCTCAGTCTACAGTGATGGTTCTTTTTGCCTCATGCTTATCATAAAATGTCATGTGGAATAGGAACTGTGACAAATTCGGCTTGATCGATAGTTTCAAATAATTTTCTACTCGAGATATTTTGAAATAAAATTCCATGTTCAAAATGGGGAAAAAGCTGCATGCTTCTAGATGAGCTCAAGTATATCAAGAAGATTAAACTTGAGAAAAATATACAAAGAATTAAAGTAATAATTTACGTGTTGTGGGATTAATGACTAAATTTACAGTATTTATCACAATATTTCTACTGTGTTAGCAGTAAGGGTTATTTTTGCTGATTTTTACCTATTTTGGTAATTTACATGGATATAAAGTGCTGCTTGCAATAGTAAAGTATTTTCTTTGTTCACTTAACAATATTTCACTGTTAAATATATTTCTTTAATTTTCATGAAAATTGGCATGTCAGAATCTGAAGGCATGCTACTTTAACCTTAAAGATTTTTCTGAATGTTATCTTTAATGGCTATTGCACCTACACATCAATTTCAAAAGGCAGAATCTTTCCATGAACAAATAAAATAAAAAAAAAAGTTATTTCAGAATTTTTATTGGTCCACAAAGTAGATTCAGTACCACTGAAGTAGTAAAAAATCATGAAAACAAATCAGTACAAAAAGCACAAAAAGATGAACACCGATTTGGATTTAATATCACCAAGCTTACATGCTGTCATTGACTTAGCACTAAAATTGCACAGTTTATTGATTTTTTGTCACTTTGAAAGAAAGAAAGTAGCAACAAGGTAGAAATTTTGAGATTCAAGTATAGGATATTGAAAGTTCTGTTGGGACGATGTTTTAATATTCTTCGCCTTCTTCCTCTCCCTCGCCTTCAACTGAATCAACTCCGACTTCTTCGTAATCCTTTTCCAGGGCGGCAAGATCTTCACGAGCCTCAGAGAATTCTCCTTCCTCCATACCTTCTCCAACATACCTTAAATATAATTATTCAACATGTGTACAATAGTACCGAGCATATAAAGAACAAGATTGCATTTGAGAAAAATGCTATGCCACCGCATTTAATACAAACACTAAATAGTAGTGTAGGAACAGATTTTCTTTGTTTCTATACAATTTTGAAGATTGTCATAATGGCATAGATCCCTGACCTATCTAATTCTTATTATCAGATTAGTTAAATCTGTAGTTAACTCAATAAAAGATCAGAGTAGGAATATATCAATGCACTTGAGTCTAGTGAATTTGGTGTTGAAGGTCATATTTCACACAGCCTAAATTTCATGACTACATCAAAGGACAACATAGTAAGACACTTTGTCAAAATCTAGGTCAGCTGAAATCAAAGTTCACTTAACATCTTAATCTGTACACATGGTTCAAATTTCATAGCTGTACATCAAAGGACAAGAAAGTAGGTCACATCATCAAAATCTAGTTCACCTGATATCAAAGTTCAATTTTACAACTAAAACTGTGCACATGGTCAAAATTTCATTGCTGTACATCAAAGGACAAGAAAGTAGGTCACTGTCCCTTGGGCAAGGCAAAATTTTGGACCCAAGGGTTTAATTCAAAACAATCTTGATACAGGTCCACCAAACAACATTTCAAGTCAAATATCTAAGCTGTAGCTTTCTCCTATTCAGAAAAGATTTGTTTATATTTTCTGTTTTTTACTATGTGAACATAATGAGAATCACTGCCCCTGGGCAGGGCCAATTTTAACACTAGGGGCATAATTAAAACAACTTTAGTAGAGAACCCATAGAATATATTATAGAGCAAACATCAAAGCTCTATGCCTTGTACCTTCAGACAAAAATATTTCTTTTTTTTTTACTGTATGTACATAGTAAAAATCCATGACTCCTGGGGCTGGGGCCAATTTTGACCCCAGGGCTATAATGTGTACAATCTTGCTAGAGGTTCACTACATAATGTTTCATGCAAAATATCTTAACTTTAGCCTTTGTAAATTTAGAGAAGATGATTTTTTAAGTTTTTACTATATACATATCAGGAAAACCTATGCCCATGGGGCGGGTCTTATTTTGACACAAGAGGCAAAATTTGAACAACTTTGGTAGAGTACCTATAGATGATATCATTTAACAAATATTAAAGCTCTAAGCCTTGTACCTTCAGACTAAGATTTTTTTATTTTTACTATATGTATATATTGAAAATCAAATGACCCGGGGCAGGGGCAAATTTGACCCCAGGGCTATAATTTGAACAATCTTGCTAGAAGTTCACTTCACAATGTTTCATGCAAAATATCTAACCTCTAGCATTTGCTAGAAGAAATTATTTTACTATAAAGTTTTTACTATATACATATAAGGAAAAACCAATGACCCCCGGGCAGGGCCGATTTTGACCCCAGGGCTATAATTTGAACAATCTGAGTAGAGGTCTACCAGACAATGCCTTATGCAAAATATCTAAGCTCACAGCCTTTTGGGTCTTTACAAGAAGGTATTTTAAGTTTTACTTTATGTACATATAGTGAAAAATCAATGACCCCCGGGGCTGGGCCGATTTTGACCCCAGGGCTATAATTTGAACAATCTTGGTAAGGGTCTATCAGACAATGCCTTTATGCAAAATATCTAAGCTCTAGGCCTTTTGGGTCTTTTACAAGAAGTTATTTTAAGTTTTTACTATATGTACATATAGTGAAAATCAATGACCCCCGGGGCGGGGGCCGATTTTGACCCCAGGGTTAAAATTTGATTAATCTTGGTAGAGGTCTACCAGACAATGCCTTATGCAAAATATCTAAGCTCTAGGCCTTTTGGGTCTTTACAAGAAGGTATTTTAAGTTTTTACTATATGTACATATAGTGAAAATCAATGACCCCCGGGGCGGGGCCGATTTTGACCCCAGGGTTATAATTTGAACAATCTCGGTAGAGGTCTACCAGACAATGCCTTATGCAAAATATCTAAGCTCTAGGCCTTTTGGGTCTTTACAAGAAGATTTTTTAAATTTATTCTTATAATTCCTTTTGGTTGCCATGGCAACCAGATTTCTGCATGGAATGAAATTCTTTGAACAACTTTGGAAGCCCTTCACCCAAGGATCAATCCTGCCAAGTTTGGTTGAAATTGGACAAGTGGTTTTTCACAAGAAGTTTTTTTAAGTTCACTATATAATCTATATAACACACACACACACACACACACACAAACAAACACACACACAGGTGAATTGCTATATGCCACCGTTGGCATCGCAGATGCTGCGGTGGCATAAAAAGACACGGAGCCAGGCTCCAATTATACTATTTCTGATGAATGAAATATCTACATTTTGATAGTGACATGTCAATAAGGAAATGGCATCTTGACAAAAGTTTGGTTAATTATTTTCTCCACATTTCTTTAGAATGTACAGAGATCATAATCTTGTACATGATTGTTTAACTTTACTAGCAACAAATAATTTATATAGATTTATATATAAATCTAAAAATGCCGACAAGAAATGTTACAAACTCATCAACAATAGAAAGGAAATGCATAATGGAAGGAGTTGGATTCTGTAGAATTGCTGATTTTTCACCTTCAGATAATAGTTAATACTAGAATTTGTGCTGAATTATTTTGGCAAGAAATGTTTATTATGAAAATAGTGAAACTTTATAAAGTTTCTTTATAATCATTATAAAGAAACTTTATAAAGTTTCACTATTTTCATAATAAACATTTCTTGCCAAAATAATTCAGCACAAATTCTAGTATTATCTGAAGGTGAAAAATCAGCAATTCTACAGAATCCAACTCCTTCCATTATGCATTTCCTTTCTATTGTTGATGAGTTTGTAACATTTCTTGTCGGCATTTTTAGATTTTTATTAGACCCATGTGTTAACATATTCAGACTTACCAGTGGACAAAGGCTCTCTTGGCATACATCAGATCAAACTTGTGGTCAAGACGAGCCCAAGCCTCGGCAATGGCAGTGGTGTTGCTCAACATGCACACGGCACGCTGTACCTTGGCAAGATCACCACCTGGTACAACAGTTGGTGGCTGGTAGTTGATGCCAACCTGAAATACATCAATAAAGATAACTACAGGGTTCAAAGGAAATTATCCTCAATATGTACATTTACCATAAAATTTAAAAGCTAAAAATTTGAGTTTGGGAAAAAAAAATGTACAAAAATAATATAATGATTATGAATAAAAGCAAATAAAATCTTGGGATTACTAATTAAAGCACTAAATAATTATAGAATTCACCATTAAATTAGATGCATGATCAGTTATACTTGTTAAAAGGTAAGTTATCTTTAAATGTTTGATTGTATCTGAAACCAGATTTTTAAATGTTACCTTAAAGCCAGTTGGACACCAGTCGACGAACTGGATGGTTCTCTTGGTCTTGATGGTTGCAATAGCGGCATTGACATCCTTGGGGACAACATCACCACGGTACAACATGCAGCAGGCCATATACTTGCCGTGACGTGGGTCACATTTCACCATCTGGTTGGCTGGCTCGAAACAGGCATTGGTAATTTCAGCAACAGTAAGCTGCTCATGGTAGGCCTTTTCAGCAGAGATGACAGGTGCGTAAGTAGCAAGAGGGAAATGGATACGTGGGTATGGTACCAAGTTAGTCTGGAACTCGGTCAAGTCAACATTGAGGGCACCATCAAATCTTAGAGAGGCAGTGATGGAGGAGACGATCTGACCAATCAATCTGTTCAAGTTGGTGTATGTTGGTCTTTCAATGTCCAAGTTACGTCTGCAGATGTCATAAATAGCCTCATTGTCTACCATGAAGGCGCAGTCGGAGTGTTCCAATGTGGTATGGGTGGTCAGGATGGAGTTGTATGGTTCGACAACTGCGGTTGCTACCTGTGGGGCTGGATAGATGGAGAATTCCAGCTTGGATTTCTTTCCGTAGTCAACAGATAGACGTTCCATAAGGAGGGATGTGAATCCGGATCCGGTACCACCACCGAAGGAGTGGAAGATGAGGAATCCCTGGAGACCGGTACACTGGTCAGCCAACTTACGAATTCTGTCGAGGACAAGGTCAACAATTTCTTTACCAATGGTGTAGTGACCACGAGCATAGTTGTTGGCAGCATCTTCCTTGCCAGTGATCAGCTGTTCAGGGTGGAACAATTGTCGGTAGGTACCAGTTCGAACCTCATCTGGAAAGGTATTCATTATAAATTTATAAAATTAACCTATATAAGTAGCCATGAACTAAAACCTAAATCCATAGCAAATCATATCAAAATGTGGTACATTTGTTTTATAATTTTCAGATACAATAAAACCTTACATTAAAACATCATTTATCATATTAGATTAGTTACTTTATATTGCATTTTATATAATATTAATCAAATTTCTATATATAAAAAAATGCACAAGTTAATCAGCTTAAAGGCATCAAACCTAATGCCCTTTGAAATGTCAAACAATAAACTCTATACACTGATACATACCAACTACAGTGGGCTCCAAATCAACAAAGACAGCTCTGGGCACATGCTTTCCTGCACCAGTCTCGCTAAAGAAGGTGTTGAAGGAATCATCACCACCTCCAATGGTCTTGTCACTGGGCATCTGACCATCAGGCTGGATACCGTGCTCGAGACAGTACAATTCCCAGCAGGCATTGCCCATCTGGACTCCGGCTTGACCAACATGGATAGAGATACATTCACGCTGAAAAAAGACAATCAAATCATTTAATTCAAGCTAAACTTTTAAGGGCTGTAACTGAAACTTCATGGAAATGTCAGCGACTTGTATTTTGCTATCATGTTGATGATTTCTGCATTGAACCGTTTCAATATGGCATAACAGACTTCCAGTTACTGGAGAGAAAAAGAAGGCACACTCAATCAATAATTATAGTTGATGACTATCAATGAAAAAAGCATAGGAACTCGAGAACGGGACCGCAGATTGCGGCGTATATTTTCGATCTTGTAACGGTTTTTAAATACGTTTCTGCTACATCTAAATATCTTTTAGTATTATCCGAGTGTATGGACTCAAAAAATATATTATCAATTGAACCCAATCTGGTCTCTTTTTAAAATTGGTCAAATTTTACGGTATTTATAAAAAAAAAAGACAAGGAGTGACATCCGCCATTTGCCGCAACGTTTTTCGGCATGATATTTTCCCCTTTGGCTACAATTGATTACTATTTTTTTCAAGAATTTTAGGTTCCCGTTATTTTTGGTCAACTCATTCAGTATCGGTCCGGATATAACGTTAACGTTTATTGTTTGTACACGTGTTTGACATGTATAGGCGGCATTATAACGGGCGTATTTGTTGTATTTGATTTTTTAAAATGGAGAAAAACAGACACTTTAGTTTAATATGTCCAACTGATTTTGTCTAACTGAAAAAAGGAATATTTTAAACATGATCCATAGATAAATATTTTAGGCACTCATCTCGTATTCATTACTAGAAAAATTAAAACAAAAATCCAAGCATATCAAGGGGGGTAACTTACGCCGAACGTTGCGGCAAATGCGGATGTCCAACTCCTTTTCTTTTTCAATATACCGTATATTTTTGGAACTTGATTTTTAAATTAACAGATTATTTTAATTGAGATTAGATAATTAATGACCAACCCGCTCGGCATAATATGAAAAGATATTCAAAGGCTCGGACAATCAATTATGTAAAGCCGATACGGATTCGGATTTAATGCGCCGCAAGATGCGGTCCTGTTCCAGAGTTCCTATGGAAAAAAGCTCAAATAAAATCTTAGAAAAAAAATAAAATGAAACAATTCAGGCATTTATTAGTTTCCAAAAATTTTTTGTGGGATGAAAAATTTTTGGGAAAGGATGAATTTAGGACAAAGGGCAAAATTTAAATTGGAAAATTTAAAAAAAAGGTTAAAGAACCCAAAAAAGAAAATCAAAACTAATTTTTTGAAACCCTTTCTCAGGAAATATATTATTCATCAGCTGCTATTGGGTTTAGGGGCCCCATGCCCGACCCAAATGTTCATTAAATCGTGTACCCCATGCTTCATGCAAAGTTTCTGAGAATCCTGGCCAGAAACCGAGACTGTTAAATATTGATTATTGCTAAATAATAAAACTGGATGCTCTGGAATAATCTTAAACTGGCAAGCATTAGTCATGAAAATATTTCCATGTAAAGACTAAAGAAAAAAGATAGAAACCTTCACATGTCATCTTTTTCAAGCAATCTTTAAATCATTTTTGGTGAAGTTCAGTGAAAAGAATGGCAGGCGGTCAACTGGTCCTGCACCAATTTAAAATATATTTTCAAATATTAATGGTCAGATTGGTAAAGAAAACCAATGGACATGGCCCGTTTGTCTTTTTAAAAGACAAATAATGATATGCGAATATTCTTTTGTTCAGTTGACATGCCACGCCCATCAATTAAATATCAATTAACGGATAAAGACTGAACAAGAAAACACGTTCAGTAATCCCATCAATTTATTTAACTTATTAAGAAATAGTTTGAAGAAGTATATGCCTAAATTGATGCGCAGATAAACTCAATAAAGGAAATAACTAAACCACGTGTTGGATGACAAAGGATAAAATTATGAGAACATGGCGGAAAATTCTTTCAACTTCCCCCACCACTGTATCTAAATTAAATCACCTGTAAAGAACAAATTTTAAAAGTAAATGAAGTTAAATTAAAAAAAAAAACTTGACTCACCATTTTGAAGGTTGTTTTCTATTTTTCTCCCACGAAAATCTACAAACACAGATACTCCTCAGTCGACTTGATGTGTCTGGATGAGCAATCTGTGCTGTTTCCGCCCTTTCGCCGGTATTTATACTCACAATTTAGCCGCCTGCATAAATAATTAACGACTCTTGCCATCGATTGGCTAGCATCCTTACGTCTGTTTCTAAATAAAGATTCACATTTTAAATTCATTGGTTAAAGGCAAAGCGAAAGTTCATTTGGCGTAGCGTAACTAAATTTCAACGGTCAGACTATACTACGCAGTTATGAGTGATTTTAAGAAAGATAACTCTTTTAACCACAGCCGTTTTGAACGCGCTGTCTGCTACACACAATTGACCGATTATTGGCAATAACTCACTATATATAGAATTTCACACTCAGAAATCTTGACAATGCACTGTAACATACCAGACCTATTCTGCAACAGTAACCCTGGCTCCAATCTAGACGGTACTAGTATATTTCTGGTAAAATCTCTTTCATACGTTATAAGCAATCGCAACTTTTGGCTTTTTCCCTAGTCATTTCGGCCCAAAAAGTTTCGGTCCTTCACTAAATCGGCCCATTTTGAATCAGTTCAAATAAATATACTAAAACTACTTTAGTGTCCAACTTTATTTGTCATCCAATGAAAACGCTGTATTCCGTTCATAGTCGACTTCTATTGTTTTTTTGTTGTTTTTGTTGTTTTTTATTTTGTTTTGTTTTTTGTTCTACACTGATTCCATGTCAAAATTTGAAAAGCTTTTTTGACAAAAAAAACACAACACTTTAAACAACCCACTGAGCTAGTACACGACCCGATCATTTCCCCGATTATCTCCCTTCCACTATGTTAGATATCGACAAATCCTTTGTAAAATCCTTAATTCTGTCCGATAATATGGTTCTATAACCGGTTACAAAGTACAAACACAATTTAAGGGCTGATTTAAGGCTATCCATTGGCCGACAGAATTACTAAATGGTTAGAAAAAAAAGTGTATTTAGATAAAAAAAAAATCGCTCACAATATTTATAATTTTTAATAATGATCCAAAATGGTGGCCACTTTTGTCAAGAGAGTAAGATATTGTAAAACTCGGGAACTATCTAGTACGTACTATCTCGTATATATAAGGTAGCTACGACATGTACATAATGGTGATCAAAACTCAAATAACATATCAATAAAAACAATCAAAATATTTTCGATATAGCTACAATATTTAATGCGATTTTGATATCGATGTTGCATGTAACGCGGAGAATCTGATATTTACATTACATATATCATACTGATATAGAACTCATGGATACCTAACGATTGTTCCATCGAATAAGTAAAATGTGAATTTGTGTTGTTCTGTTCCTTTTGTCATTACCATGACCGGCCTTTTTTAACGCTGCCATAGATGATCGCTGTTAAAGAGGTCGCTTATAAGAGGTTTATATTGCCGGGAATGATAATCTTACTTTATGACAGCTATGATTATACGGTTTTTAGCCGTTATCATAATGTTTGATAACTTTAAATACATTTTCCCACTTCCGTTAGCAGCTTTTTAATAGAAAAGTCATTTTATTCACATAATCTCGGGGATCAGACCCAATTAAGTCACATATAACATTTTAACACAAATAATAAAATCATATCCAGATGATCTAAAGAAAAAGAACCAGATTGCCATCAAGTCTCAATACTTTATTGTCTGATGGCTGACATGTGCCATTTCGTACATTTTCGATCCGCGACGAAAACACAAAATTACGACAAATTTAAGTGATCACTTTATCGTATTTTCGTGATTTCGCCTCTCGCTCCACGGGGCACCTGGCAAAAATACGACACAGTGACCACTTTGTCTTCCTTTCGCTCCACGGGTGCCAGTCGAAAACATGTCATAAGACACCTTTCTTGAGAATATTATCTTTTTTTTGTTGTTGCTATTATATGTTTAAATCGCTTACCGTTATAGATGTTCACCGTTTCTAAAGTTGCTCTAATAGTAATGTTTCGCTATCTACCTGAAGTCTCATTAGGTTTTTAACTATGATTTTCATTTTTCAACTGAATTTATGAATTCTTCCGAAATTTTGATATGGAAACATTAGCGTTTTCATATATTTCAGATTACTAGCAAAACAGTAATTCTTCGATTGATTGAAATTGTATGTCACCTTGGTGTTTGTCATTCATATTAGATATTAAGAGGATATTTTTTCGTTTGCGTGAAATATGGAATATATTTTCACGAAACATGATAAAATGCCACATATTTTCACGAGCCGGTACGGCGAGTGAAAATATGTGGCATTTTATCATGTTGAGTGAAAATATATACCATATTTCACAAAAAAAGAAAAAATAACCTTTTTATTTAATTTCATTATCAAAGAAAATGGTAACGAATCCCTTTGCTTGCTACCAACTGCAATTGTACAGCGCGCAGTAATTTATGCGTAAGCACGCGCTGTTTGGCGCTACATTGTGACGTCATGTAAACAACTCGATCTTTAAACGTCTGTACAGCGTTAATTACTGAATTAAAGATATTGGTGTTCGGATTAATTTTCTTAGTTAGACCATTTTCTATCATGCTAGATAGTTTTCAAAACAATATTCAAGAAAAAGTTGTTTTGTATTTATCAGATTTTTGAAACAAAACGGCGAAAGAAGTCCCTTAAAATAAATATGAGTTTTGACTCCGCCCACTTTCATATTTATATTTCATATTTATTTTTAAAAAATATGAAATATATTTGACTGATATAGCACCATATTTCATGGGTACAATTAAATAAAACAGTTGATTTTGTGTTAAACTTAAAAATAGTACATTTTAACTAGATTTAACAAAGAACATTATGAAGGCAAGATAAGTTAATAAGTTTTATATTGCTCGGAGAACAATGTGAAACTTCGATGTTGTTATACATTTCTGGTTCTTCTAGTCGGATGGTAAAACTTGCTAATTTCAAATCTCCTTCACCTCACCCCTCAATTATTTTATGTGATGAAGCTATCCAGCTAATATAGGGTAGTTTTGATCAGGTGTCCACTCGTGACTGAAATAAATGCATGAGCGCGAAGGTGCTTAATTTTGGGATCCACCTCTACCAGTAAAGCACACGATCTTCGAGTGTCGGCGTGACTTGAAACCCGACAAAACAAAATATTGTAAAATAAACTTTAGAAATTGTTATGGTCCCTTTAAAGTTTTAAAAGGAAACATCATACTTTTAGGTAGTAAATGATCCTTTTCTTTAAGCATTTAACTTTAAAGTGAACTGGTCTATAATAAAAAGTATATAATATTATAAATATTTATGTAGATATGATTTAGTATAATACATGACAGCAAACCAAGACAAAATTATATACGATTGTTGTTTTAAAGATCCTGTACGCTGTGATCACACTAAGTGAAATTATATATATGTACATAATAATGCAAATAAAACAATTTTCAAACATCGAAGAATATGTAAAATATATACTGCAAGTATTTGTACATATTATATGTAATCATTAAAATATATGCATTCATTTCTTATTGTAAAACTTGACTTTGTAAATAGAAATAAATTTCTAATTACCTCCCTTTATTTACATGAACTGTTAAATTCGGTGATATCTTTATAAATAATGTTTTTTGAACCTACAATATTGATAAATCTTAATTTGAGCATCATATTTATTATTTAAAACCATAAAAAATGATTGTGTTACAGGATCTTTAAGCCAATATTTCGTTTCTGCATATAGCAGATGATAAATTGTTCCAGAACATCATATTTTATTCAGCGTAAAAATGTTCGTACTAAATCACTGAGAACTCTATCAATACTTTTATTTTCAAGAAATATTTGATATGACTATACAAATGATACAATCGCAACTTTTCGGCTCTTTCCTTCAGTCTTCGGTTTATAAACTTTATAGCCGAGGACGTTCCGATTGTACAAAATGATACAATCCTATTCTTTAATACTAATCGAAAATGTCCCCATTGTAGACCAATTCACTTTAATAATCAAGCAAAGGCAATACAATCTTCATGTTTCATTTTTTATATCAATAAATAGTTTTATAAAATGCTGCAGATCAATATGGCATAACATAACAGTACAGTAACGTATAAATTAACAAAGTGAGAAATTCATACAAAATAAATAATAAATAAACTGTAACAACTTGCAGATTGCGCATGCGCTAAAATATAAAAAAAACATTTTACCGAAGAACATTGCATTGCATCACAGGTCTATATCCAATATCTTTTTTGGCACATTTTATAAACAACTCTAGCGCAAAATGTATTACTTTTACACAGTCCAGCAAATCCAATATGCGTAATTTGTAAGATTTGTCAAATAATTAACACAAAACAACTAATTTTGATCTTACTGGAATTGATATCAATGTAACATTATCTGTCAAAAGATAGAAATATTGACTAACAATATACATGGACATATAAGAGAAATATAGCTGCCGGAACAAAGTGTAGCTTACTCTTACTTATTACTTATAAATACTGGTACACCTAGCGAAAAGAGCTCAAAATATGTGAGCATCAAATTCAGTTTGAAAATTTCTCATTTCGGATCTTTAACTGGTTTAAGAGACATTGGCGACATATTAACATTCGTTAACCAACTTTGACATTTTTGAATTGATCTCTCGCGGATGAAACGCGGCGGAATTTCCATTTCCTCTTTTGAAATTATCGGTCTTGGATTGTATCTGCTGTCAAAGCCAGGTGGCGTTATTTCAAAGTCATTTTCAGGGCTTGCAATCAGATGATAGTTTCCAATGCCGGGAATTTTATACTTTTTCTTTTTCGCTTGATCGAGTGTGAGAACATTTGATTTCACAGTTGAATTTGTTGTTTTACTTAGTTTTGTGTTTTCTCTTATAGAGGGAAAGAATTTTCCCTTGACATACTCCTCGCTTGAAGTGTCGTCACATTCTTTGTTTTCCCTTGGACTGCTATACGGAGAACTATTTTCCTCATTCCCTACGCTATCAATAGATTTAAAATGGTTTTTATAATAAGATATTGTCCTTTCTCTCATATAATATTCATATTTATTCCGGTTATCAGTCTGCCTCCGTTGGGCGTTAACACCTTTATGTCTAATATCAGCTGATTCCCTATCTTTATTTCTCCTCTTTCCTTTCACTGTGCCCATGTCTTGTAAAGTTTCCATAATTGCGTGCCTAGCTTCCTTCGACATGTTCATAGACTCCAAGTCTTTTGATTTACTCCTTTCTTTTTTCTCTTCTTCAGCTTTTTTCTGCTGTTCTGCCTCGCGTAGTTCTTTAAGCGCTCTCTGCGCCACGTCGCCACTCAAAGAATCTGTGTCCCCCTCAGCAATATAGCTACTATGACCTCCTGTGCTTATTACCGACAGTCTACTGTTTGCACCAATTCTTTCTAGATCACTTATCAAGTCATTAATGTCATAAGCAACGTCAGTTTCTCTGGATTGAGATTCAATTTCCGCTTCGTTCAATGTCACCGAATCGCCAAGTTCACTTACAGCACTACACGTGTCAACGTTTTCAATTTTGTCACTATCTTCAAGACCTTGAATGCTAAATTTAACACGTTTATGACTTTCTTCATTCAATACGTCTTTACAGTCGTCAACAGTT